CCGTGCCAGGTGCAGGGTCTGCTAGCTGGGTGCTGGCAGGCTTGCACCTGGCACGGGCACCGTAGCCAGCCCGTGCCCCTTTAAGGGGTCCGGGGCCGGGAGGGGGGCATAGAGTTTCCCTGGTGTTGGCCAGAGTGGCCACCAGGGAAACCTGGGAAGCCTTAGCCTCCCACTAGTTCGAACTAAAGGGCTACACAGCCCTTAGTTCGAACTAGCTAGTTCGAACTAGGCGTTAGTCCTCGTAAAATGAGGTTTACCTAGTTCGAACTAAGCGCTCCGCTAGTTCGATTCAAATTCGAACTAGCGGAGCGCTAGTGTAGCGCCTATGAAAGTTAGTTCGAACTAACGTCCGTTAGTTCGAACTAACTTTGTAGTGTAGACATACCCTTACATTTTTATTCACAGCTTTTGTTCCAATAACAGTGCTAGTCTCAATAGCTGCATTATTTCTTTATTCCATCTTGGCACCTTCTTTCGCATTGACCTATACATAGGATGATCTCTTGGTCTCATTACATTGTCCCACACCTTTCCTCAATCTCATCTTGTTAAGACCCACTTCTGCTACTTTTGTCCAGAAATTTAATGAGTGAAAATTTAAAAAATGATCAACAACAATAAAAATACGATGTGAGTCCTTCCTGTGGGCCTCTCTTTGCATCTTAACTATTGTATGTTAGAAGGGGAAGCACTGTTATCATCTAAGTGTTGAAAAGCAGCAAGTACATTACTGATACTTGTCAAAGGAATAAGAACAAGTGATTGATCAACCTCAAAGACATTTGTATTTTCAGTCTGACTGTAACAAACACCTCAAAATCAGAGGCTAGGATAAGATGAAGGAGTACAAGAGCTGCTGTCATTTACACCAGCATGTAAGAGCCCCTTACTGGGTATCAGTGGAGCACAGTACACCCTGCCTAGGTCTACTTCCAGTATAGACATAAAGGTAGAGTCTGGTGGTATGTCTACACTTGCACACTATTTTGAAATAGGGATACAAATGAAGACATTCAAAATCGCAAATGAAGCCGGGATTTAAATATCCTATGCTTCATTTGCAGAATTGCATTATGGCACTATTTTGAAATAGCTCTATTTCGAAATAACAGATGCTGTGTAGATGTGGTTATTTTGAGAGAAAACCCTTCTCTCAAAATAACCCTTATTCCTCATACAATGAGGTTTACCAGTTATTTTGAAAGAAAGGTTTTCTCTCGAAATAACCGCATCTACACAGCATCTTTTATTTCGAAATAGCGCCATAACACGATTATGAAAATGAAGCACAGGATATTTAAATACCGGCTTCATTTGCAATTTTGAATGTCTTCATTTGCATCCCAATTTCGAAATAAGGTGCAAGTGCAGACATCCCCTGAGAGGGGGCGGTGGCTTATAGACATTTCTGCCATCTTTATGCCACCTGCTTCGCAGAGAAATTCCCAGTTCACTGAATTAAAAAAAAAAGTGGCCCAGAGGAGACACAAATGGGGGTAGCTCTGTCCTTACTTTAAAAATGAATTTGATAAGCCTCCCTGAAGAAAAACAATAGCCAAGTCTAGTTTTGAAATAATTTATCATTCATAGCATAAGCTATCAGTTTCTCTGAGTGATTACGCATGCACATTCCCTCTGAGCTGAATACTTTACACTCTTAAAAATAGTAAATGGTTAATGGACAAATGACAAACAAATTCTTAGAACCATTGTACATTGTGATTTTCAGATAGACCCATTCCTTATATGTCTATTACTTAATTGCATCTGGAAGTTTTTTGACATGAGTGGCCCATATCACTAACTTTGTGAGTGATTGCATACCATGAGCCTGAGACAACAAAATTATGCAAGTAGTGTCTGTTTATGTATGACTGCACTTTGGATCTCTTCATATTCAGCATTTAGTGTAAGAACAACTCTCCATTTCCTTCTCAACTATAAATCCAGTTTTGATCCAAAGCAGAAGGGAAGGAGAGAAGGTAATGGAAGATAGATAAGTACCACACATCTCAAAGAAATTCCAGTTTTAGCTCCATTTCATTTTCAAGCGCTTTTCCCTTTGTGTATTCTACATGTAGGTGGCTAGCAAGCAATATTTAATAGGAAGGATACATGAACATGCAGGAGGTATAGATGTCTGTAGCACTATATCAGCAGAAGAGGCTTGGACAAAACATGATTTGTGAAAGTTTGGATGCTATCATACGTACATTGCCATCATACAAATGTCTAGCATAGGTGCTTTTTGAGAAGCTGATACTGAGGTTGCCTGTGCTCTAGTGAAATAGGCCTTCTCCCTGCCAGAGGGAGAGAGAGGCACCACTTAACAGAAAAGGACAAATCCACTTGCAGAGTATTGAGCAGATATTGCTTCTTTCTGTGCTTGCTCTGTTAAACAACAAATGGTCTAGGTGATTTCTAAATGGTTTCTTTCTTTGCAAGTAGACCATCAATGCTTGACTGATATTAAGAGAATGTAGCCTCCTCTCCTTGCTACAGGCATGAGGCTTCAGAAAGAATACCAATAACTGATTTGACAGGTTTATGAGGAATGCAGAAATTACCTTCTAGATGGGATACCATACTCTATATAACATAGAGTCTATAGCCAGTCAGACACCTTCTTGGAAGACAAAATGACAGTCAGAAAAGTGATCTTCATAAACAAGTTGGACATTGGAGGCTCTTGTTGAAAGTACAAGAATGGAGGTCTCACTGCAGCATTGGGGCTAGTGGTGGGAAGGTCGTTGGAAGAACCTTTAAGAAAGCTGGTTAAATAAAAATAAAATTGCCATCTACCACAGGGTAGGATGATGGTTGCTAGGTGGAACTGCAGCAAGCTAATAGAAAGACCTGACATCTTGAGAAGGGGAAGGTAGTTTAAAATAGTGGGAATATCTGCTGGACTGACACCTGGTTCTGCTTCTGGTTCCTTCCATTCATTATATTTTTCAATAGAATCTTTTCTGCTGTGATTAAAAATAGCTCGAACAGCCTCCAAATGGGAATGCTCTAGGTCTGGGGTCAACCAAATAGTGGATGAGATTGTCAATCCAGAAGGATAAAGATCTCTCTGGTGTAAAATATACCTCGGTGCATCCTGATGCATGAGGGGTCCTGGCTGTTGGTTCTCTCGGACCCAGTACCATGACAGACTTAAGAGTTGGCACATCCTTACTGGACAGGGTTGGTACTATTAGAAAGGGAGATGGCCATCCCTTGGAACTCTTGGCTGGTATTGGTGGATGTCTATTTTGTGATGTGTTAAACATCAAAGTTGGCACCAGTGTAACTTGCTCTTGCCTACTCTTCCTTCATGGCTGAGAAGCTTAAGAAGACTTGAGATCTGTGTGCAAAAACTCACCTGACTTGAAAGGAATTGGGGAGGGATATCTTATTTTGGAAGCAGGTACAGAGTGGGATGTTTTTGTATGTCGGAGAGAGTTTCTTTTACTCTCATAAGAAGCCCAAGATAATGGGTATTTAATTTTACCTTGTCTGGCCTCTGATCCAAAATTGGAGCACACACTCAAAAACTGTGTTTGATGTAGAAATGGGTCCTTCCTGCTTGGATCTTAGTGGGATCTCATGGCTTTCTTCTTGAGATGCATCCTTAATGGTATCACCAGTCCCTCATACATCTGGGATGGAAAGGAGTAACAGATACTGCACTTGGCAGAGATATGTCCCTCCACATGCCAGTAAAAGCAGCACTGACAGTTGTCACTGAGGGTATGTCTACACTACAGCACTAATTTGAATAACTTAATTCGAATTAGTTAATTCGAACTAAGCTAATTTGAATTACTACTTCTAGACCTAAAAACTAATTCGAATTAGCGCTTTGCTAATTCAAAATAGCATGTCCACATTGAGTGGACCCTGAACCGAAGTTAAGGCTGGTTGGAACCAATGCTGGCAGTACATCAGGTTAGGACCTAGAGTATGGAGCTGCTGCCTCAGGCTAGCCGAGGGCTGTTCTTAAAGGGACCCGACCCCCACCCTGGACAGACAGTTCTCAGGGTTCCCCGCTTGCTTGTCTAACTCGATGAGGGACAGCAAAACAGTCCTGTCTTGGAGTGCCCTGAGTGCCCACACTCGGCACATCACAGCACTCGGCCATCAGCCCGGCTGCACTTGACGCAGGCTGCCATCCAGGGGCGTCAATCGGGGGGTTGTCAGTATCCAGGGGGCCCTGAAGGAGAGCTTCCACCCCGAGGAGCCCGCAGAGCCACCCCACTCCTCCCCATCGGGGGCTAGTGCTGCATTCCTCCCTCACCTCCCTCCACATACCCCTCCCTAGCCTCCCTTCCTGATGAAAAAATAAAGGACACGTGTGTTCAAAAATAGAAACTCTCTTTATTTGACAAAACTGGGGAAGGGGGGATTAACCTCTGGGGAGACTGGGAGCAGGGAAGAGAGAAGGGGAAGTATAAAACTATGGTACGCCATATCTTCAGTACTGTGTACAGATGTGGTCTCCTCACCTCAAAAAAGATATTTTGGCCTTGGAAAGGGTTCAGAAAAGGGCAACTACAATGATTAGGGGTTTGGAACAGGTCCCATATGAAGAAAGGCTAAAGAGATTGGGACTTTTCAGCTTAGAAAAGAGGAGACTGAGGGGGGATATGATAAAAGCATGAGTGGTGTGGAGAGGGTGAATAAAGAAAAGTTCTTCAGTAGTTCCCATAATAGAAGGACTAGAGGACACCAAATGAAATTAATGGACAGCAGGTTTAAAACTAATAAGCGAAAGTTCTTCTTCACCCAGCACATAGTCAACATGTGGAACTCCTTGCCACACGAGGCTGTGAAGGCTAGAACTATAACGGAGTTTAAAGAGAAGTTAGATAAATTCATGGAGGTTGGGTCCATGGAGTGCTATTAGCCAGGGTATAGGAATGGTGTCCCTGGCCTCTGTTTGTGGAAGATTGGAGATGGATGGCATGAGACAAATCGCTTGGTCATTGTCTTCAGTCCATCCCCTCCGGGGTACCTGGTGGTGGCCGCGGTTGGCAGACAGGCTACTGGGCTAGATGGACCTTTGGTCTCACCTAGTATGGCCATTCTTATGTTCTTATGTTCTAAGCTCAGTGCTCCTGGGTCGGGGTCTCACTGGACCAACTTGATTTTCATGCAGACCTGCTCCTGGGTTCGCATGTGGCTTTGGTGGCCAGGCTGGCAGCTATCCTGCCCTAGACAGCCGCATTCCTGTGCCTAGTGTGGAGGTCGTGGACGTTGAAGGCCTCCCCCCAAACCTTGATGAGGTCCATGATCTCTGCCCTAGACCAGGCGGGCACCTGCCTCTTGCGGCCCCAGGGCAGTGGGGGGCTGGCTCATGCCGTGCCAGGTGCAGGGTCTGCTGGCTGGGTGCTGGCAGGCTTGCAACTGGCATGAGCACTGTAGCCAGACCATGCCACTTTAAGTGCTCCAGGGCCAGGAGGGGGGCAGAAAAGTTTCCCTGGTGGTGCCCAGAGTGGCCACCAGGGCAACCTGGGAAGGGCTAGCCTCTCACTAGTTCGAATTAAGTGGCTACACAGCCCTTAATTCGAACTACTTAATTCGAACTGGGTGTTAGTCCTCGTAGAATAAGGTTTACCTAGTTCGAATTAACTGCTCCGCTAGTTCGATTTAAATTTGAAATAGCGGTTTGCATGTATAGCCGCTATTAAAGTTAATTTGAACTAACGACTGTTCGTTCGAATTAACTTTGTAGTGTAGACATACTCTGATTGACAAAACGCAAAGGCAGTTTTTAAATCCAGGACTTCTGGGCATTGGGCCTACTCCCAAAGAAGGATAAAGAAGGTCCCCAGGGTAGAAGAAGCTAAGCTATACTAAATACATAAAGTACTATAAAATATGAACAAATGATATACAGTTATGGTTACAGAAATAAAGAGGATGTGAGGATAGCTCAACACAGATTCATAAAAGAGACAGTAAGAAGAAACTGAAGAATTATTCTGAATGTACCCTAATGATCTCTGATCTCAAGTGTATGGTGTACGTACAGTACATGTATATCCCACATATGGAATACACGTAGGGTACAGCAGTTGAAGAATGAATTTTAGAAAACTAAATGTACCCCATTAGCTCCACAGAACATTGAAAAATAATCATGTATAATAAAACCATTTTTATTCTCTATTGCCACAAAATTCTCTGAATTTATGCATTACGCTCCTCGGGGGAAAAAGCATATGTGCTTGTAATAACATTGTACCTACTACCATTTTATTCAAAATTCACATGAATTACCCATTTCACACTGCAGATATAATCACATTTTTCCTTGCTCACTGAAAGCACCCTGCCCTGTGTATGTCCATTTGAGTTGTTAATATAGTGAATTAACATAAGAATGCAAAATTTAGAGAAAGCATTTTGAATGATTCTATTTATTGAATGCTTGAATTTTATTAGTTCTTAGTGCATTATGAGTGGTTTTCAGTGTCCAAGAGATAAGACCTATCTTTTGAAAGGGTACATCAGTTTAGAGAATGCCCGTCAAATACATGCATGTACACAGACACATGTATGTGTATACATATGACGATAGATGATATGGTTATCTTAAGACACATATCAGTCTTCTGCAGTCACTTCTGTAGAACATGGGCATTGTTTGAGAACACTATTTAAGTTTTTTCCATTACTTTCCTGATGAACTGAAAATGTTTTTAGATTAACAATTTCATTTATTAACTGGGAACACAGATAAGAATTTCTTTTGCCAGTGACATTGAGAAACTATATTTTCTGCTAGGTTTCCACTCTCTGCTCCCCAAAATATTACAGATGCAGTATTGCTACTTTTTAGGGCAGACGTGGCCAAAGGGCACTCTATGGGCCAGATCAGGCCAGCCAAGACAGAGGAGCTGGCCTGCAGCCGCTCTGCCACTCTCCCACCCCCAGGCCAATCGGGGTCTAAAAACAGGAGAGCACATGAAGTCTCCTCACCCCTGCAAGTGTGCATAGCAGCTAGAGAGACATGCCTGATGTTTTAAAACAGCTGGCTTTTATCTCTAGCTGCCACGACTTTTGATGAGGGAGCTCTGCGCGCTCCCAGGTCAATCAAGACCTGGGGGAGTGGGGCTTGCGAAGTCTCTCACGTCCTTTCCCCACCCTGCCAGGGATGTGCAGAGGCTAGAGAGAGACACTGGCAGTTTTAAAACAACCAGTGTGTCTCTCTAGCTGCCGCGGAGGCAAGGAGACTTTGCGCACTCCCCTGCTTCTAGTCCCTGGGGGGGCCGTGGGCCGGATCCACCATAGTGGCAGGCCACTGCAGAGGGCCCTTTTGCCCATGCCTGGGCTAGAGAGACACGTCAGCTGTTCTAAAACAGCTGGCATGTCTCTCTAGTTGCTGCATGCTCTTGTGCGGTGAGGAGACCTTGTGCGCTCCCCAGCCCCCAGACCCTAATCGGCCTGGGGGCAGGGAGAGCATATGAGGTCTCCTCCCGCTAGGTGCCTAGAGGGTATCGCCAGCTTTTTTAAAATAGCTGGCGTTTCTCTCTAGGGGGTGTGGCGGGGGAGGGAGAGAAGGAGGGGAAGTCTTAGTTCTCATACTCCCCCATCCCAGGCCAATCAGGAAGAAGCTTGATGAGTGACTTTGAATTCTGACATAAAAATGCATATTATTAAAAAAACATGAAGTTGGTGGTTTTCCTCCCACAATGTATTCACTTACCCCGACAATGTACTCCTTCATCATATCCATCTGAACAGTCATGTACACCATTGCAGAGTTGGAACAAATGAATACATCTGTTTGTACCGATGCAAGTAATATGATTCAGGGGACACTTGAATTCTATTTCCTCAGGACCTAAAAAAATAGGCATAGAAGAATTCATATACATTTGTTTATACTCAAAAAAATGAAGAAATAAAGAATGCACTGTTTAGTGTCATGTAATTGCACAATATTTCCACTTTCAGGCTAGTAAAGGCATATTATGTACTTGTCTACACTGCAGCTTTTCAGTGCATTACCAGTAGAGTTATATAATCTTAAATAAGGATTAGCATAATTAAAGAAAAGTAACTGCTCAAGGAGGATTATTTTATTAAATGAAGATAATACATCTTATGGTTTTATAAGAGGTTTGTGTACTCTAAAGATTATAAATGGTGAAATTCATATTTGCCAACATTCAGGATTGAGCAGAGATTTTTAAAATTATTTATTATTTGCAATATTACATGAGTCTGCCAAAGACAAACAAATCACTAGCACTCCCCTGGATTAGTATATCACCAACCATATTGAAAAGGGGGGGGGACCCCCAGACACACAAAATATAAGAAGAAATTCAATTATTTACATTTTGGAATCCGAATTCCTCTTTCCACTGGGTAATAATTAGAGTCCTGCAAATCTGTGGATATCTGATTTATATCCGTGGGTGTCCTCATCCACAGATGTCAATGCAGATCTCCATAGCTCATTTTTGCAGATGCAGACGTGAATACAAATTTTGTATCTACACAGGGCTCTAATAATAATCACTCTACATGTTGTCATCAAAAAGAGGTAGGAAGGGACGATTAACTACATTCCAGTGGCACTTGATCCTAGAGCCTCAACTTTAGACAGGCCTCCACAGTGCTCAGCACTGTACAAACACTGAGTAAGGTACAGTTTGTGCCCCCAAAAGCTTACATGCTAATTTAATTTAAAATGCATTGAAAGAGTTTAACAAATAAGTGGAGGAGGGTACAAATGATGTTTGGAGTGGAGGAAGCTGTTAGGAGGCCGCTTGTATCACCCTGATGATCTGTTTGGGACACAGTTCTGACGAGTTTAGCATAACAACAGGGTCACTCCAAACTCCATCTGCTGAAAGCAGTCTGCAAGGAACTCTAGAGAACAGATACAACCACTCATTTATCCACTCACAGCTGCTGGTCAGTTTCAGCAGCGGCTGAATCGGGGACGCCTGGGGCAGAGCAGCTGGAGTGCTGCGGGGTTGGTCTGGTAGTGCCGACCCTTGGCGCGGTGAGACAAACCCGGCAGCACCCCAGCTGCTCTTGGGGACGCCTGGGACCGAGCAGCTTGGGTGCTGCCGGGTTGGTCCCGTAGCGCCGCTCCTCAGCGCTACTGGACCAACCCGACAGCACCCCAGCTTCTCTGCCCCAGGTGTCCCCCAGTCAGCTGCTGCTGAAACTGATCAGCGGCTGATTCCATTTGGGCACTCAGCTGCTGGTCAGTTTCAGCAGTTGAATCAGGACTCCTGGGGCAGAGCAGTTGGGGGGCTGCCGGGTTGGTCCCACAGCGACGAGGAGCTGTGCTACTGGACCAACCTGGCAGCACCCCAGCTGCTCTACCCCAGGTGTACCCAAGTCAGCCACTGCTGCAACTGACCAGCGGCTGATTCCAGGAAGCTGGGGCAGAGCAGCTCTGTCTTGGGCTTCCTGAAG